TGCTAGGGACCCAGTGATGCTGTAAACAATTTTAACAGTCTGAACACACTCTAGAGCTGACAGCTGAAAGGGAGATTCAGCGATGGGAATCCAGCCTCACCCCCCCCCCCCCAGGAACCGCAGGAACAACCCCGCTGCCAGACTGCAGTTCTGTGTGGAGATAAGAAGCCCTGAGCAGGAAACGCTAACCTGGGGGATGTGCAGGAATTGCCCAAGAAGGATATTAAAAGTTAACTGAATTCTACATGAGGACAGGAGTGCACACATGCCTTTAACACATGCATGCCACATAGCTGTATACATAAACACACGTGGGAATACATACAGTGTGCAACCTATTAAAATTATTGAGTTTTGATCTTGTAGTCTTTTGATAGAGAGGACACATCTTATAAAGGAAACTGTATGGACAGTGGAGGGGAATTGAGAAACGGCTTTCACAGTGACTACTGAGGACGAACTACTCACTGTTGCCCCTGCATTTTGCCCTCTTTCTCCTGACCAGCCAGATCCAAATAACCTTTCCTGGCTGCTAAACTTCTCTTGGGAAATCAAGCAACTCTCTGGAATTGCAGTAATAAACGACAATTTCTTACAAAAACATGTGTAAAGTAATGACAGGCTGAAGTAGTCAACTCACAGAAAGGAACCGGGAACACTTCTGCCACGGAAAATCGCGGATCAACCTCTCTGGTGCCCTTCCATTATGGCATACGCAGAAACAAGAAAAAGCCTTCCAATTATTTCAGTAAAATCTTCATTTATTCATTATTTCAGGGGCTGAGCAAATGGTTTGTGTAAACATATCCTTCAGTAACACGCGCATGTTTATTTTAGCCATCTGAAGGCTTCTTCTATGTTTATATACGCCATCAGACACACACAACCACTCTCTTGTGGCTTCGCGTCTTCTCAAAGGGGCGAAGGGGGAGAAAGGAGAACGGAACAATAAATCCAGTTTCTCTCTGCAAAAAGCACCCATCCAATGTTTTAAAATAACTCATGTTTATATTACTCCTAGATTGCCCTTCAGCTTTCTTTTTTGTTCAATTACGCTGCTCTTTCATATCGGGAAGAGCAAGCAAGAGTCTGGCTCGGGTCTTAAGAAAGCAAGCTAGTTAGCAAGTAACTGTTGTACGTGTTTAATACCCACACAACTCACTTGTGCAAAAAACAACAGAATGTAAACAACAGAACATATGCATGGAGGAGGACAAAGAACAAACACAGCAGTACCCAGCTTGAGCTGGTCCTCTCCTAACATCCTCCTAGAAGGAGACTCTACCCTGACTGAAGAGGAAACAAGGCCTTCAGTATTTTACTCTGCATCAACTCCAGCAACCAACCATTTACTTAGGCAGGAAATTTCATTTTCTCTAGATTTGAGTAAGGACCTAGCTTGTCAATTTACACACATGCGACACACTTGCACACGCACATACACACACGCACATACACACACGCCCACACCCTTCACAAAAAGCTACGGTCAAAGCAAAGAAACCCCTTCAGGACTGTAACCTGGAAGGTCTGTGAAACCCTGCCTCACAGCTTTGGCGCTTGATGGAGTTTCTGAGCTAGGGTGGGATGTGGCAAGTAGATCTCCAGCGTGAGTAGGATGAACACATCTGCCTCCCTGCCATTTCCAGACCCCCAGACAAGCTGTTTTTGACACGGAAGCATCTCTAGAGGGCAAATGGTTCAAGCAGGAAGGAAAGCTAGTGAGGACAAATCAGGAGGCAACATACACGATCCTAACAAAATAAAGCAAACCCAAAAACTGCCCTTCTATCTACAGGCTTCATGGATTGCCTTTGGGTATAAACTCATTTGTGCACGAGTGCACTCGCGCGCGCACACACACACACACACAAATCAAAGCAAAAGGCTATCAACTTGAAAGTGGGGGAGTATGGGAGAGACTGGAGGGTGGGTAGGTGGGAGGGGTTAGAGGGTGGATACCTAGGAGGGGCTGGAATGAGGGTTGCTGGGAGGGGCTGGAGGGTGGGTAGCTGGGAGGGGCTGGAGGGTGGGTAGCTGGGAGGGGCTGGAAAAAGGGTTGCTGGGAGGGGTGGAGGGTGGGTAGCTGGGAGGGGTGGAGGGTGGGTAGCTGGGAGGGGCTGGAGCGAGAAAAGAAAGGGGGAAAAGTGATCTAGTTCTATTTCAGCTAAAAACATTAAACAACAATAACCACAAAAAGAAAAACACCAAGCAATAGCCACGACAGGTATGACTCGTGGAGTGTTTTTTGGTTCTTTGTCTAACACATTAAACCTCAGTCATTCAAGTCTGTGACTGAACAAATCTATCTTTCCCTAATATTGTCAAGCTACTGAGCAGAAAAAGCTATGGCTTTCGCTGTCCTCATCCCTCTTAAAGTGACAGTGATACAGGCAGGATCTGTCTTTTCAATATTCTATCTAAAAATAAAATCCATGAAGTTTTTAAAACATAGGCTACCTTGCCTCCAACTCAGGAGCTTGTCTGCCCATCCTCCCCAGTGCTAGGGCTAAAGCCTTGCTCCACCATGTCCCACAGTTGTGTCCAGTTTTGAAAATGGAAGCAAAGTCAAGAGAGCTACTGTCTCACCTGAGCATGCTTATTCTGAATTGTGATGCGCAGATTCAAAGAACTGGGAGTGTGACTGTCCCAGTACATAGGGTGGCACCCCCACCCCGACTCAGCGAATCTGTGCAGAATGCATAGATACACCTCAAACACCAACGATGTACCCTCTTGAGTCATGACAACAAGAGCAGATGCAACCCAAGGCATACTTCAAGGCTTGATCATCACATAGCTATCCACCAATCCTAAGAAAGATTAGTATCCTCTGAGAAGGGGAAAAATGAAATCAATAAATTCAGGTGGTCTCCCCAGCCCAGATTCACTATGATCTTTAAGCTGCCTGTCCCGTCAGTTTGCTTTCTGTGAAAGGGAACTTCAGGATGAAAAACGCTGACAGTCACTGTGGTCATTCTTCCCATAGGTGTCCTTTTGGGACAAACCAAGTTCTTATTTTAATATTTCTCGGACCTTGTACAAAACGTAAGTTGCCAAAAATTTACATCTTTTTGGTTTTAATGTGCTTCAGAGATATTATCCTCTTCTAGAATAAGTAAATGCCCATCAGTAGTCTACTGATTAAGAAGTCGTGACAGCCAGAGACACATTTAGAAACATAAGACTCTTTCATCTAATCGGCTACCCTTGTGAACGTAGGCCATTCCGCTGATAGGCAAAGCATGGAGTATAGGATTGTTACTTAATAAACTAATGCAAACATCGTGTTATCAAGTCTAATTAAATTAACTTTAAATAGCTTACTAATTCAGACTCTTAAGCCACTTTCATTCAATTTAATTAAGCATGATTAATCATTGAGACTAGTTAAGTAAGCTACTTCCACCAAGTTGATCTTCCATTTGTAAGTATATATTATATAGTTTTTTTTTCTACTAATATAAACTTCTTGGGGAAGAACATCCCAATAGATTTCTTTTTAGAGATGATTATTCCCACCAATATTTAAACATGGGAAAAGTCATATTGTAATCACTTAATTGTTAAATTAATTAAATGTCACAGAATTTTTAAAAAACCGAATGCAAGGTTGGGGATGGCTGAGCAGTTATTGCTCTTGTTCAGGAGTAAGGTTCAATTCAAAGCACCCACCTGGTGGTGGCTCACAACCATCCTTGACTCCAGCTGCAGAAGGTCACATGGCTTCTTCCGATCCCACGGGCACCATATATGCACATGATGCACACATACACATGCAGGCAATTCACTCACATATAAAATGAATTAATCTAATTTTTTGTTTGTTTGTTTTTATTCTTTGAGACAAGGTTTCCTTGTGTAGTCCTGGCTGTCCTGAAACTAGCTATGTAGACCAGGCTGGGCTTGAACTCACAGAGATCCGCCTGCTTCTTTCTTTCTATTGCTGGGATCAAAGGCATGTGCCACCACTGCCTGACTGAATAAATCTAATTTTTTTTTTAAATTCAGAAAACAAAATCTAGGTAGTTTTTATGTGAGGAAATGAAGATGTTTGACTCCTTGAGCCCACAGCAGGTCCCATCACCCACTATGAAATCAAACACCCTTCTCATAACTAACAACTCAACACCTGACCTCACGCAGAAACTGCAAGGGAATGCTTACAATCCGTGCAACGGCAAAGACTGTGTTGGCTCTATTTTCAGGAAGCGCAAGGGATTTCATTACTCCCTTTTGTTCATCTTTATGTTTTAATATATATTACACCATAAATTATTTATTGGACACACACTGTTTTGAAAAGATAACAGCTACTTTATAATAGTTTTCCAAAACCAAAACATAAGATAATATCAAAACTATTTTCAAATAATTTTCTTAGCCAACCTAATAAAGTCAGTTACATCAGTCTGCAAACAGAAATTAAAACTACTTAAACAAAATTTCTTCCTTAACTACAGATTCGAAATATCTTCCCACTCCAAAATGGGCTTGCTCTGTGAACAACAGCGGAACAGACTGGCTTGAAACCTTTCTTCCCGTCTTTCCCGCTGAGAGAGGGATAAACACTCAACAGCTTAGAGTCAGCAGAGAGGAGAGAGTTGAGATGAGAAAACGCATATAATGTAAAGAACCAATGTTTCATCCTCAGGTAGCAGAAAATCTTGCCTGAAGCTATGAGTTCATTTCCAGGCCCTTAAATCTAAATGTCATAGCACACTCCTCCCGCTCCCACCAAAAAAAATGTTATAAACTGCCCCAAACATTTGACAGTGTTGAGAAATCCCAATGATCAGTTAACATATGCCACAGTCCCAGGTTAATCTGTTGATGCATCTAGACAGGAATTAAGGGGGGGGGGGAATAGGGGAATAGGGATGGTACAGCCAAACAACTAGACTTTTAACATATTTTCTGTACAACTAGTTACAAACAAACACTTTAGGTTATGTAAGTTTTAGGTGTAAGTGTAGGGTTGGAAATAATTAAAATGTTACCTTTGCCAAGTAATTCCCAATGTATCCTCACTGGTACTGGGGTATAAATGCCTGCCGTTTTGATTCATGGTCCAGTCACAAATCCTCAGCTGTCAATTGAAACCTAGCAGTCAGATATGGATCGAGCAGTACTACAGTTTTTAGTATTTAAATGAACACATGCAAACTAGTACTGAACATGGCATTACTCTGACTTTCCCAAGAGGCAACTTAAAGAAAACAGACAAACAAAATTAAAAAAAAAAAAAAATGAAAAAAAAGAAGAAAAAAAATCATACTATATAAAGCAAAATTTCCAGACTTTTCCTGAGAAAAAAAAAGTTATTGCAATATGCTTCTCTATTAATTAAAGCATACAGAGAAACAAGTGCTTAGAACATAACAATTAGCCAGTATTAGAGTATAAATTGAGCTGAAATAAAAGAAAACGTTAATAATGTTCAATAGAGAGATTATTTTTGAAAGGAAATCAAAATGCGGTTCTTTTTTCTATGCGACATACCAAATCATCTATGCAGAGTAGAATAATCAATATCTGTAAAGCATGCAGATTGCAAAACAGAAGACATGCAGTTTAGAGGAGAAAGGCCCCGCCCTGCATTGACCCTAACAGGTAGAGAGGCTGGGAGGCTTCCAGTTTCTCATGTTCCGAATTACATTTTACCTAAAGTGGCATTGTTCAGGAAGAGTCAAAAATGAGCTTGAGGTCTATGTAAAATTCAGAGGCGTGGCCCTGTAAATGTTTTCCCGCATGTGCAGAAGGGGGGGAATGCATTGGACAGGGCCTGAGACCAATTTTCCCTGGATCTGAGCAGCGGCTCTGCTCTCCTGAGCTCTTCCCAGGAACCCTAGCCGGCCCTATTTGGTTAACAGCTGCCCTACAGTGCTAGCAGATTTATTGAAAAGATATATTGCTTATTTTTATGCTTAAGAAAGTAAACTTATCTATCATGGCAGGGGCAGGGTTGGGGAATACTCTAGAAAATCGTGGTTTTTAAGCTTTAGAGAGCCGGGCGGTAAATTCACTGCATCCTGCATTGAGAGGGAGCTGCCTTGCTGAACACACCTGGATTGCCTCTTCTGGGAGAGTTTCTAGATGGTGGCTACAGCCAAAAAGCCTTTACACTTAGGACAAATTGCTTTAACTCTGTCCCCAAAACACAGGGCTTAAAAAAAAAATGCTATTAACTCTCAGACTCCAGTTTCTTCACAGTCAAAAAGCGACCATGAGGTTTCAGAATAACAGCTTTTATCTGAAAATGTAATCTAAAATTTGGAAGGTGCATTTAAAGTTCTTGGATATTTAAAGTAGAACTCGTTTTTACAAAGAACTGGAAAAACGTCCCCTCAGGTAGACAGAGAGAAAGATGCAGAGATGGCTGAATGGCTGGCGTCTGCTCAGCTTGATGTTATAAAGGACTCATAAATCAGAGAGTAAACAGAAACAAAGTAGGTATTCTGGAAACAGCCATAATATTCATACAAAGGAGAAAATATATACCTATTCACTTATAAACAGATGACATATTTATGCTATTTCAAAGAAGAAAATATGTTTAGTCTATAGTGTATGAGAAACAACAATGTAAGATTTATTACTGAGGGGACATAGGTGGGGGGCGGTGGATACACAAGATCTTACTGTGTAGCTCAGACTGTCCTTGGACACTTTGTCCTCAGCCTCCAGCAGGACTTGGGCTTCCTTCCTTCCTTTCTTCCTTCCTTCCTTTTCTCCTTCCTTCCTTCTTTCCTACCTCCCTTCCACGTGTGTGTGTGTATAACCAACCCTAAAAATTTCAATGTGTGTGTGCACGTGCGCCCGTGCCTGTGTGTGAGTTCTCTGAGGGGCCCTTCTAAACAGAAATTCGGTGTGCTAGGCTACATTGCTAATCACCAGAAATAAGTGGGGTACATTTCAAAATTTGAGCCTTGAAAGAAAAGAGCCTGACCATTTGCGGTCACTTCAGGAGCCACCCCCCCTCCCATCCACTTTCACCTAGGGATGACACTTTTGAGTCAGGTTAGCAGGAAGCGAGATGTACGTTCCGCACACCACAGCCAGTTCTGCTAGGGAGTAGTCCCAGGTTAATGTCTAGGGGACCCTCTGCTTTCTCTGAACGCTGATAATCCTGCACAAAACTGTAAGACCCCAGGACCGCTCATGGGCTATCTCAGACAAAGCTGAGACCCTACTATCTTCCTGGGAGTTTCTTGTGCAAATTTGGCCAGTTACATGTTGGTGACGTTTTTTTTCTTTAATCAACCCTAAAAATTTCAAGTGCACAATCTTTGGCTTCATCCTGCACATTTAAAATCAATGTAAGTTCTAACTTTTTTTTCCTACATATACTTTCAAAGAGATTAACCAAACTAGCTATTTATTTCCACATATCATTAATATATATGCTTATGCGTACATGTACACACCTATGCCTTTTAAAAATATTTTTTCTCTAAAACAGAAAAAATGTTTAAATATATACAAAATGATAAAAAATTGCATTTAAGAATAATTTAATGTCAAAGAAGTTGGCAAGATACTAGTTGAATTAATATTGAATTATTGAATTAGTTTTCAACAATTAACTAAAAATTATAAGATACGATTTTAACTTGTTTGCCTATATTATGGGCCAGCACTGCCTATACTTTCAAAGCATCTAAGGAGACAAGTATTTGTGCCAGCTTGTCTATTATCACACACTTGAGCCAAGTTATTTAAGCAAGAGCACTTCTCTGTCTATTATTAATTATTATTATTATTATTTTGTTAACTATATTTGAACTAATAAACTACCCAATAAAGTAAAAATTTAAAGAGTGTAAGTAAGGGAAACAAATAAATGACTAAAACGAAAATGAGCTATTATTCACCAAAGATTCCCGTGGCAGGAATGTCTAAGAAAATCAGCTCTTAAGCATCTTATTTAACCAAGACATTTTTGGACCAAGCAAATTCAGGGCAGATCCTTAATACTGGAAGACTCAAACTGAGTATATTTAAGCTTCTGTAGAAGAACATGTGAAATGTTTTATTATTATAATTCAAGATGCTAAACACAATTTCACTTTAAGTAATAAAGATTTTTAAATTTGAGGTACTGACAGTTTAACCAATGCTCTGAGAAAGGGTCAGTGATAAAAATTCAACTGTCAGTCAGGTGGTGGTGGCGCAGGCCTTTAATCCCTGTACTGAGGAGGCAGAGGCAGGCGGATCTCTGTGAGTTCCAGGCTAGCCTGGATTACAGAGCAAGTTCTAGGACAGGCTCTGAAGCTACACAGAGAAACCCTGTCTTGAAAAACAAAAAAATTCAAGTTATTTCTAGTCAAATTTTAAAGTTGGAATTTGAACTGGTACACAAACACCTCTATTACATTTTCATAAGTTCAAACCTTCTGTAAGTGTGAGTTTTCCAAGCATCTTACTTTTGAAAATAAGAGGTGACCTCCTGTCCCATAACAGTCAAGCTTAAAAAACCACATGCAAATGAGCTTAGAAACCCAGCCTGTTGGTGCAGCATGACCTTGTAGGGGAGGGGCCAGGCGACCTCACAAAGGGGGAGCTGATTTCCAGCTTTCTTAGACTCTAAAAGTCAGACTTAACCATATGCATGTCTGTGCCAAATACATAATCACATGGAGATTTAATTATTTAATTTATATGTACCTATCAAATGAAAGAAGACTGTTTATAAAACCAAGGTATTAAACACATTGTGCCCAATATTCCAAGAAGAAACAAGAAATGAAAGAAATAGGATCGACCCGGGAAGCAATGATTATAAGGGTCAAATAAAACACTTGTAAACTATGAACACAGTAGTAAAGGCAGGGACCTGAGCATGCTCTCAGATTGCAGTTTGGAGGGGAAGTTCCTGATGGCACAGTTCAAATGAGATTGTGTCAAAACAGCCAGGCAGGGAACTCTCTGGTTTCTTTCAAATGTCTGCTCAAGGAGGCTGGGGCATAGCTTAGAGTACTTGCCCAGTGTCCAAAAGCCCTGGGATCGGTCCCCTGTCCTAATGCCACATAAAATCAAGTGTGCTGGTATGTGCTGTTACTTCTAGCACCTGGAAGGTGGAGGCAGGAGGATCAGAAGTTCTAGGTCATCTGCTATTACATAGGGAATGATTCCTAATTACTTATGTAATTAAAATGAATAATTTGCATATGCAGAAAGACCAAAGTGAAAATACCTGAGATACTGCTCATAAATTAGGCTTCTGCTGATAGGCATAAAGAATCAATATGGCCTTAAAGTCAAGTTTGTACACTCAGATGAAGGCCCTTCATGGTCATATAGGAGACTTTAGCTATCAAACGCATAAAATTTGGGGAAGAAATAAAAGTAAGCAAAATGACCTACTTTGCCAGATCCAACAAACAGGCGGTGGACTGACTAACACCCTGCCATAATGACAACAGCGCTCAATTTAACCAATAACCCACTAGGGTTAACTGAATAACCAACACGAGCAAATTCACCTCTTCATTTTAGGTTTACAAGACCCTTAAGGGAGTATCTTGAATTGTATGTTTTATGTTCTCTTGAGTTTCCACATTTCTCCTGATAGCTCTGGGACACAGTCTGGGGGAGGGGGACAATGGAGGCACATCAAAAGAATCCTCACACGAGGGTTCGTGCTTTCTATTGACTGCTCGGGTGGGTTAAATTTCTGCTATTAACTACTTGCTTATGGAGCAACTGAAATGAACTTTCACTAAGTTCCTTTCTAAGCAGTAGAACTTTCATGATCAGGGAAAATAATCAAAATCAAACTGTCAAGAAGATAAACCAAAGCCGTTCTGATACCTCAAAGTCACTCTGTCCCTTTCTGAAGTCATGCTCCTTGATACTTAGCTAAATAAAGTTAAATGGGTATGAACAGCCCCTAAAATTAATCAAAATCACTGACCATAAGTCATACATTAAGAATTGAAAACTAAGGGTCATTTTCTTTTGATGACAACTATTTATGCCTATAGAACGTAAGGTGTCTAGAATTGCTGGTGACAATGTGACCCTTTCCCCTCTTAAGACTTGCCCAAAGTTAGAGACACCTGCTCCCATCACAAGGCAAAGGTCAAA